TGCAATTCAACATGGCAAGTCTCTGAGCCACAGTACATGGCACCTCTGACAGGGCCCCAGGCCCCTGCAGTACCTGCTACCAGAGCAGTCTTGCTCTAGGGCAGAAACAGTGGAGTAGTAATTGGTATTCCTTCTCCCAGTGTCCCTGAGTGAGGTTCACCCCAGCTGCCCTGGGACACAGGCATCCTGGGCTACCTGTTTGTGCTTTGGATGGGCACAGTCATTTTCTGGAGAGATCCACCTTTCTCTGTCAACTATACAAAAACCCCAGACAGCTCTCATTCCTACCATTCCTACCATAAACACCTTTCTCTGATGCTGCAGGTTATGCAGGGTGAATCTGAATCACTGAGAACATCTACAGTCCTAAACAAAAGGGAGCCACGGAGCAAGCTCTGCATCGTGGGCTTTCCAACCTGAGAAACCAGGACACCTTCTTTGAAGTGGATGGAAGCTGTCACTCCTTCAGCTGAGATGTAATAAGTAGCCATGTGAGTAATCCTAGTCTATCTCACTGAGGGCAGAATGGTTTATTTAAATCCCCTTAAATTGCTGCTTAATGCCTAAATAACCCATCAGTTATATCTGACTTCACATCAGTGTGCCTGGAGTGAATTAAATCTGGTAAGCATTATGGAAAAATTCCATCATTAAATGTTCTTGAAGATCCCCGTGTTTTTAGGCGAACACCAAATGTTAGTTTAAAAATAATTTAAAGTCTGTACTTACCAAGCTCCACTTCAATTACATCTTTGTCCTTTGGAAATAAAATTCTAGGAGGTAGAGGGGAGTGTTTTGCTTTAGAAATTAAGGAGGGAAAGAAAGCACATATTAGAAATTTGTGAAAACTTATTTCATAAGATAATGATTATAACCTGTAAGGTTAATATTTTAAGATTCCAAAGCAGAATTGCAAACTAACACTATAACAGTGTTTCACATGTCTGTCGGGATCACCTGGTTTTATTCCTATGACCAAATATTTCTAGGTAGTCTGTATGTGTTAACAGTTTCAGTATTTTCTCCAAATTTATTAAATTTCTGTATTTTTACACCAAGAGCAAGGAAAAGTTTTACTTTCTCAAGCACTGTTTTAGCTTCTGGGTGGGAAAAACAAGAAAATGCAGTGATGGGTTTGTGATAAAGATTCCTTCCAACACTTGAGGAATTACTCATATCCACGATATGAAAAAGCTAAAATGCATTTTTATGTAGTGTCTGAACTGGAGAACCTATAGCCCACAGCTTCCCACCTGTATTCCCCTGTTTCCCCCATCTCTGTAGCCTGACAGCCAAGCACGTATGGTTTCCAAGACTCTCCCTGCTGTCTGAACATCACTGCTACACCCAGCTACTTCCCATTACACTGAGCATCCTTTATCATTACCTTCTAAAAGGATACTGCTCTTTCTTTAACATATTTATTTTCTGTTCCAAATAATAATTGTTATGGACAGGTCCAAACTACCTCCACCTATTTGACTTGAAATAGACATTCAGTTCTTTCAGATTTTTTCTCCTTGATGCATTTTTCTTCTTCTCTTGTCCTTTATACTGTCTTACATATCCCACTCCAAACACATTGCTTGTTATCCTTTCCCTCATTAAGCTTTTCCATCTCAAGGCACCCATGCGACACCCATAACCATATTTCCCTTAAAAAATATTCAGGAACTCATTAAACCCCCTGCTTCCCAGGCTGCCAGAAAAGCAATTATCTTCACCCATCCTAACTGTTTCTAATTTTCATTAGCTGGATCTGGTAAAAAAAGAAGTCAGGAGAACGTCAGTAACTTCCTAGCTAGCTGCCAGCATTCAGAGGCAGAAAGTCCTCTGGGTCAGTGTGAATCTGCAAAGGCAACAGGAATGTACGTCATAAGCCAATATTATCAAAACGTAACAGCTCCACTCATCAGCATACTAATTTTAAGGGCTGATAAAAACTCAAAAAAGTTATTACTAAGTAATTTGAATGTAGTAAAAACTGGAAGAGACGTGACAAACCTAGCTCAGATTTCACATGTTGTGTTGCAATTCCTTCTTTCTGCAGTGATTTCTAAAGAAAGACAGGTTAACTTCCAAATGAAGTAATCTGCCTGGATGTAACAGGCTTTTGTAAATTTGGATGACTTTATGCCAAATAAACCCAGGAATTTTTATTATAACCCAGACACAACAATATTGATGACAAGTTAGAGAATTTTTGGTGAAAGTACATCCAAACAAAACTTGAGTATTAGGCAGGGAAGTGTCATGTAGACCAACGGGGTATTGCAAGTAAGAGAAGGAGGAAAGGCACAATGGCCTAAACTACTGTACTAGCTCTCAGCTGTCTCCTGTCCAGCTCAGAATAATCAAAAACAAACTCCACTACTGTGATCTTGGCACAGCAGCAAGAACTGGAATCAAGGCTCCTACATTCTAAAATTGCATTCTGCCTATAAGCTGTGTGCCTCCTCATAGAAAAAAAAAGTCTGATGTCAGTCTACAAATGAACATTATCTCCTTAAAAAAAAACCAAACCAAACAAACAACCCAAACCCAAGGCACATCCCCAAACCTCCTAAAAAATTTCTGACTATTTTTCTACTGATCTGATTGAAAAACTGAAGGCACATTTTAAAGTTTTGCAAGTTGATGCAGTCTGGAACTGCTGATTGCTGTGTGCTCTTCCCCTGATCACCATCCAAATACAAAGCCTCCCTGAGGAGACTGCATTCTAGAGACACCCCAAAGACACACTTCAGCATAACTGGCTGCATTCAAAATAACAATGACACAGTAATCACTAAGCTCCACTCATTTTTTGTCTATATATATCTTGCTCATTTTGTCTCATTCAAGATAAACCTAAAACTTTTTTCAGCCTATCAAATAAATGCTAGATAATCAAGATGGACCAAAAGGTATTGAGTTATAGGCCATCAACACAGTGATCCAACAATCACCAGATGATCCTAACTAGCTACAAATTCTTCTCCCCTTGAATAAATAGAAAGCAGAGCTTTGTGGCATCCCTCGTTAAGAAATGAGTGCTACCAGCCATGTCTACCACCCACAGTACATAACCAGAGTCATCAGAGACTTTTAGCAAAAAGCTGTACATGACCAGGTCTGAATTTAGCCCCATCTTGCTCCACGTGGGTCTCCATCCACAAAATTCACCTAAAAAAGCTGATCTAAAGTTTCTTTGAGAAGATAAAACAAACTAACAGAAACTTTTCTCTTTAATGTACAAAAAAATCTTCCTTTGCTTTAAGTAGACCTGTCTTTTTTATTTTAGCAAGCTACAAAATGATTGCCTTACCCTTACTTATGAAAATCCTCGTTGCTGATACATTAAACACATTTCCTTTATGAGTGTAGCTAAATCGACAAGTATAATAACCATCATCCTCCTTTCTTGGGTTGTTAATAAAAATATACTTTTCTCCCTTGAAGTATCTCTGTCCCTGAAGAGGTCTGCAGTCCTGGAAAATAAATAGCTCTTTATTTGGCTGCAAGTAGCTTCTCACGCTAATCTGATCTACAACTGGCACTATCAGGGTTTTATTTACCTTATACCACTGGATGATAGTAGCATTCTTATAATTGTCAATTGTAGGACAAACAACTTTTCCTCTTCCAGTGTCATTTGGATAACGAATCCGACTTGGGAAACATACTCCTTGCTTGTATGGATGCACCTGCACGCTCATGTTGAATGACCTTGTGCGATTATTTGAACTTTAAAAGTGGAATAAAGGTATGTCAATGATAGTATTTTTATAAGGAATATTTTAAGTAACAACTGTAAGTCTTGATTTAGAAACATACGGATGATTATTGTAGTTCAGTCATAGATTGATTTTAATGACCTGTCGGCAAGTGCAGCATGAAAAGCCACATGAATTGTTGTATACCATGAAAAAATTGCATCATTTCTGTAATAATAAGAATGTATTACTAAAAAAAGTGTGTTTCTTTCTAGACTTACACCTTTCACTTTTCAAAGTTGTACTTACAAATGTATAACACAAGTGTAGTTTCCAGAATGCTCTCTAGAAGTTGGCAGAAACCAAAGAAATCGTTCTAAGGAAAATATTTGTGATCCCTCTTCTTCTGCAGGAATTATTTTGTTTGTGTCCATGTGATACCAGGTGACTTTCACAGATGAACTCCATCGAGGACATTTTATAACCAAAGCCTCACCTTCCATTGCATCAACTGCAAATGAACAAGAGATAAATATCTTAGACAAACTAAACCCTAGTCCCACTGAGCAAAGAGAACTTGGCATTCTTGGATCAGCAGGCCAGTCACGTCACTCTATCTTCTTTGGGCTTTCAGAGGTGATATATACCAAACATTCTCACTAGACTATTTTTCAAGAAAAATTTTGTTTATCTTGAGTTATGGAGCCATTTGTTTGCATTTGTTTGCTTAGTAATTAATGTGTGGGACTCAACAGACAAACAAAATCTTAGATTCAAACAAGACATACACTAAAAAACATGAGGTTTTAATTGAAAAATAGTTATATCATGAAATGAACTTCTTATGCAAATCTTTACTTGAAATCCTGGTTTTACTCAAAACAGGAATTTAAACACAAAGAAAAATACTGTCTTTAATGCTTCACTATTAAGTTAGCTTTCCTTACTTCAATAAATATTTATATAACAAAGAAGAGCTCTTGTTCTGCCTTTTCAATACAGAAAAAGGAAAACAATAAATTTCTTTTTTATTTTTCATGAAAGAAAAAAGTAGTAGGAGGAAGCCTGTATATAAAATCATCCAAATAAAAGAAAAAAAAATTTAAAAAAGACAAAATCCAGAGGAGTTTCTCTCTGAAGTTCATAAAAATAAGAAAACATTGAAACCAATGTAACAGACTGAAAGGAAGTATCTGGTGGGAAGGTGAAAAGATGCCAGAAAGGAATAAGAGACGAAGCAGCAGCTTAGGAAAACAAACCACACATGGTCACACATAACAAAAAAGAGAAAGCTGTGAGTAAGACTTTTTTTTTTTGACTGAGTATATTTCTCCTTTTGAATTCTGCAACTGGTCCAGAGAAACTTGAATCAAGCAATTTTGTCAGACATTTAAGTGCCTGGGCACCTGAATAACTGAAAGTTATATTGCATTTTAGAGAAGAGAAAGGGAAGCAAATAAGCAAGGATGGAGACTGGACAAAGATGGAGATTGACAGAGGAGCTACAACAGAGAGAGGAGTGTGACAATGAGTAGGTAACCAAACAACTAACCAAAATTGAGAGTATCTATCAAAAATAGCACTTTCTGGGAGTATTGCCACCACCTGGCTTTAGACATATATGCGCACAAATTAGGTAGTGAGCCTCTCTACATGGTGGACACGTGGCTTCTGCTCTGGTTCTTTCTAAAGAAGTGGTCCATCTCCACTGACATTACATGTCATCTCTACTTATTAATTCAGCCACCTAAGTTAGCCACATCAGGTATGAGTAACCCCAATCATGTCATTGTAACAGCATTCCCACCCATGAGCCTTTGCAAAGACAGTGGTGCACATCCAGTGTGTCAGGGAAGGTGGCATTGCCCAACTAAAGGAGGAACACATTGGAAATACAGCTTTCTTCAGGGGAAAAATAGAGGAGAGGGAACACAGAAAATGAGAGACCTCATCTAAACTCAATCACATCAGAGAAAATTATCTTGGCAAATTCTTCAGCAGAATTTTGTCTCTTAATAAATCTAATTCATTTGAAACTTAGCATTCATATTGTAAACTTGAGAATATAGGGAAATATTTAGAGATCATATCTTACAACATTTTTGAAACAAATGAGCAACTCAGCTGGAGATTAGAACTACGTGAGTGTGATGAAGCACTGTCATTGGTCAGCACTGGTCAGCATTGTATAGATGTGTCAGCAGAGCTGACCTGTCAGTAAGAGCTTATTGGTTTGAATATCCCCATGTTATAGTAACATGTTATGTAACATGTTATAGTTACATTGTACTTGTGGATTAACACCCCCAAACCCAGGACATTAAAAAGCACTTATAACAAGCAAAATGCCGTTACATCCCTGGTTCAGCA